TTCTGCTGTGCATGGAGTCGCTATGAGTCGGTTCCGACTCGATGGCACCTGACAACAACAACAACAAGGATCCCAGGTAGTACAATGTTTAAAATTCTTGGCTGCTAACCAAAAGGTTGACAGTTGCAACTCACCAGCGATTCCGTAGTATAAAAGACCTGGCTATTTAGTCCCATAAAAGAATATAGCCAAGAAAACCCTACTGAGCAGTTGCACTCAGTCACATAGGGTTTCTATGCATCAAAATCAATGGGACGGCCCACAGCCACCAGGATTCCCCCTAACAGTTGGCTGTGATGCTGGAAGCTATGTTACTGACATCTTGAATGTGAATAGCATAAAACCCATGATGGACAGATTTCAGCAGAACTTCCAGACTACGGGTCTACAAGGAAAGCCGTGGCAGTCTGTTGCCAAAACTGAGCCTATGAAAACCCAAAGGTCCTATCAGAATATTGTCTGGTAGAGTTCTGGAAGAGGAGCCCCCTAGGTTGGAAGGCACAGTGACCACAGCAGTGGACTCAAACCTTGACAACAGTCATGATGACAGTGAGGGCCAGGCAGCATCTCATTCTTTTAACAGCCACCACCACCACCACCAGTGTTCCTGAACCAGAAACGTGACAGTTCACAAGGAAATTTCCAAGTGTGTCAGACCCATTTGGCCCTACTTTCAGAACCGTTGTCCTTAAAGCGTCATTTGTAAGATGTGACAGAAACGTCACTCCGTGTGGAAACATGGCCAGTCTCTTTTTTTCTTTCTTTTTAAATTTTCTACTTACTTGGCTGGGGAAAATTATTACCTCATAATTATCCCAATTACTAGTGTAAATCAGATCATGGGAGAAATGTCTAAAATAGTTTTAAGAGAAAACCTCTCCACGTTGGCCTGGAAGTCACCTGGTAGGTCTCATTTATACACAGATAATTAATTACCTTCTACTGGAAATCTCTTTGATAAACTCTTGATTCATCTGGTCAGGGAGCTTGAAGGGAAGGGGCCTGAACAGAACGTGATATGCCTTATACCAGATATCTACAATAGCTCATCTAATCCTTCCAACAATCTGTGGCAAGTGATTGTTCTCCCATTTTTGTTGTTGTTGGTGGTGGTGGTGTGTGCCATCGAGTAGGTTTCAACTCATAGCCTCCCTGTAGCAGGTTTCCAAGGAGCAGCTGGTATATTTGAACTGCCAACCTTGCCGTTAGCAGATCAGTGCTTATCCTCTTGCGCCATTTTATACCAAGTGCATAAAGAAAGGAATCCTGGTATGGTGCTATCGGATAAGTACTGGACTGCAAGATCAGTTTAAACCTCAAGGTCAGTGGTTCAAGATCACCAGCCACTCCTCAGAAACCCTATACAGGGTTGCTATGAGTCAGAATCGACTTGATGACACTTAACAACAACAACATCAAGCAGGGATACAAAGCACAGCTTGACCAAAATAAACAATGCCAATAAGACACACACAAGAGAAAAGAATATTTGTGCTGAAGAATATGGCATATGTAATTGGCAACAATAACCCCAAACATTGTATGTCACATATGTGTGTAGGTAGGTACAGGTGACTACATACAGACAGAAACTTGTCTGTAAGTACATATGCATACAAATATGTGTGTGCATGCATATATGTTCCAAGGACACACTCACAGATACTTTTCAGACATAACCATACACCTAGCAGGCATGGTTTTCTGGGTTCGCAGGGTTAGGACCTACCATAACTTCATGGGACAACTCATATCATTCCCAAAGTCCATGTTCTGTGTCCTAGTGAGGTGACTCGCTTCTGAGGTCTTTAAAG